TATATTTTATATTTTATTCTATTTGAATCTTACATAAAATTTTATATAAAATTAATTGTATATATCATAATTAATGATACTTAATTTGTAACCTAAGCACATAAGTTGAAAAATCCCTATTTCTATTTCCTTTCTCGTTTGTTTTCATGGCATCCTTCTTTTTTTTTTTTTCGAACACGTGTTCATGGCATCCCTAATTACAATGATATTGTAGTAAGGTCAACTCTCTTTGCAGCTCACGTCTCCTAGGGATTATTATTATTATATACTTGGTGTGAACAAGAGTGCCACTCACTGTTTTTAAAATCGGACAGGATCAATCGGTTGAATCAATCTAACCATCACCCGGTTGCTGAAACGGGCCGAATGGATGTCCAGGCCCGTTTGAACAATCGGACCGTCCAAAACCACTGTCCCGCCCGACAGGCTCGGTAAACCCACCGGATGAAAAGGTTAAAATTTCATTTTCGTCCCTGAACTATAATATGGACCTTTGATTTAGTCCCTAAACTAAAAAATCTCTAATTTAATCTCTAATGTTTACTATTTTAACCTCGATTTGATTCTTCTATTAAAAATCTCATGATGTGTCCTATTAATTTACTGTTACATGAGAACATGTTAATTTTTAAAACACATGAAAATACAACATAACAAAAAAATAATGATGTGAAAAAAAAATAATATGATTGTAACCATTAATTTTTTATTTTAATTATCTTATAAATAACTAAAATGTATATTAAATTTTTTCAAGAGATTAAGGGGAGTCATGCCCCCAGCCCTACTTATCCACCGCCCTTGGCTATGTAAACAATAATATTGAATTTGTTATTCAATCAACCGGAACCTGGGTTGGCGGGCCGAGTTTTACAAATTTGACTGGATTTGATCAGATCAACCTTCAAAACGGGTTAGAGACTGAGAGTATTCTCCCACCTCATTTTTTCTAGGGTTTTTTATAAGGATATATGTTAAAAGAATATTTTTATTATAAATATATAATATAAAAGTTAATAATTATTTAATTAAATAATTAATA